CTCAAGCACCACCACTACCTCCTCCTCTCTGCGTAACAAGCACAATGGCACCTCCAATGGCACCTCCAACCCCAAGGCCGCCGTCAAGCCGACTACACCCGACACCAACCGCACGACCGACGAGCTGAGGAGGGCTATTCAAAAGAAATACAGACACGTCGCTGCCGTCCACTCCAAATCGCGCCCATCAACCCTGAGCCATGACTCTAACACGGCCCCGAGCTTCATTGGCTTCAGGAACTTAATGATTATTGTACTCAGTACGTCGAGCCGATGCCGGAGCTCCTTAAATGGCATTAGCTAACCAGGCATAGTTGTCGGTAATCTTCGTCTGATGATGGAGAACATTCAAAAAGTAGGCTTCAATGAATTGTTCTTGATATGTAGACACACCTCACTAATCAGGCGCTTGTAGTACGGAGTCTTGATTTGTGTTCGCTGCCACGATTTCCGCCAGCAAGATCTCGCTCTCGGCTTGGGCTTATATCTTCTGATCCCTTGTCATCTTATCGCCGCGTACCTAATCGAACTGGCTGCCGCCCAGCAAGCAAGGGGCCTGCGGGCGAAATCGAAAGACGGAGCCGCCAGCCCAACAGAGGACCAGCGCGCGAGGTTTGACTCGACCTGGAAGGTTATCGCTTGGATCCACGCCGTTAACATCACTCTCGCTCTGACCGTTACATCCTACGTCGTGTACTTCCACATTCATCACCCCTTGATCGGCACCCTGACTGAGCTCCACGCCATCATCGTCTGGCTCAAGACAGCGTCGTACGCCTTTACGAACCGAGATCTGCGTCATGCCTACTTGCATCCTGTCAAGGGCGAACTTGCCGCCATGCCCGAAATATACCAGCAGTGCCCGTATCCTCAGAACATTTCGATGCACAACCTGGCATACTTCTGGTGGGCACCGACATTGGTCTACCAGCCCGCGTATCCGAGGACGGACAAGATCAGATGGGTCTTTGTCGCGAAGCGCATGGCAGAAGTATTTGGCCTGGGTGTCTTTATCTGGTTCGCTAGCGCCCAGTACGCCGCGCCTGTCCTCATCAACTCTCTCGATAAGATTGCCTCTCTGGACGTCCCCAAGATTCTCGAGCGGCTGATGAAACTATCGACGATTTCTCTGGTCATCTGGCTCGCCGGCTTTTTTGCCCTCTTCCAATCGTTTCTCAACGCTCTCGCCGAAGTTACCCGGTTCGGTGACCGGTGTTTCTACGAGGACTGGTGGAACAGCGAGAGCTTGGGTGCATACTGGCGATTGTGGAACAAGCCCGTATACCAGTACTTCAAGCGTCATGTCTACTCACCCCTCATTGGCCGAGGATGGAGCCCAAGGGCCGCGCAACTGGCCGTCTTCTTCGCGTCTGCCGTCCTGCACGAGGTTCTTGTTGGTATCCCGACACATAACATTATTGGTAAGTCGTCCCGGGGGAAATACTCGTACAGTCAGTCGGCTAACAAAGAAAAACAGGTGTTGCTTTTGCGGGCATGTTCTTCCAACTTCCCCTTATTGCCCTCACCACCCCTCTGGAAAAGATGCAGTCTCCCACGGGTCGCATGCTCGGCAACTGCATTTTCTGGGTCTCGTTTACCATCCTCGGGCAGCCCTTTGCAGCTTTGATGTACTTTTACGCGTGGCAGGCCAAGTACGGCAGCGTCAGCAGGCAAATGGCCTGTAATTCGGTTGCAAGCTCGTAACTCGCGAAAACAATCGTCAAATGGGGCACGGCGTTGGCCTGGTACTCTTTTCTGTGTACACTATGATTTCTGGGTTTTAGACAAAACACAATAATTGGCAGTTGGCTCAACATGTCGTTCTTCAAGTTGCGTGCCATGACGAGCCCATACTAACTACCCGCAAAAGGGAATCATGGTCCCGACACGCTTGCGATAGTCCTCATAATCCTGTCCAAAGAACCTGACCAACAGCTCCTCCTCGTGTCGTATCCTCTTTGAAAAAAAGTACCACAACACGACGGCGTACGCCACCAGCGACACCACGTTCCCCATGACGAGCTGCGTGCCGATAGCCCACCAGAAGAAGCCAAAGTACGAAGGGTGCCGAAAGTAGGCGTACACGCCGCCCGTGACGAGGGCATGGGACTCTGCGCGGTAGTGCTGGATGGTGTGGTTGAAGCTCTGGCCCGCCGTGACCATGGCCGCGGAGCGGACCGTCTGGCCCAGCCCGACCAGAAGCAGACCTGCAATCAGGAAGAAGGGTCGGAGACCGAAGGGCGCCCAGACGCTGTCGGGGAAGACGAGGTTCGTGAGGAGGCACTCTAGGAAGGCTGTTGCGTGGGCGATTGCGTAGGCGGGCCAGTTTGCTGTCAGGAGGTAGGCGTGGACTGTCGCTTGCGGGGTGTTGTAGGCTGCCGTTGTGTAGAATTCGAGAAAGTGGAAGAGGGAGAGGGCGGAGAGGAAGAAGGGGAGGCGCCAGAGCGGGGATGAGGTGGTCAGGAGGAGGAGGGACAGGGAGAGGAGGCCGAGGGTGAAAGTTGTGCCGAGGAGGAAGGCGCGGAGGGCGATGCCGGCGAGGGATTTTGGTTGGTTTGGGTAGTATTCTTTTCCTGGGATTGGGGGGTCCTGGGGGCGGGCGTCGCTGGGGGGAATGTTAGCTTGGGAGTCTTTGTGGCGGTTGTGGTTGCGGTTCGGGAGGTTTGATGGTTGGGAGTAGAGGGGGTTCATGGGCGTGCGTGAAGACATGGCGATGGTGGGGGTCTTGGTGTTGAGGGGCAGAAAGAGGTTCACAGAACTGGACGTCCTTTGGAGGTGTCCGAGGACGTCAAGGTCGCAGCCACATTTGCTCGCCTCACTTCACCTCCCACCAGGGATAGGACAGAACAGGACAGGACGGTACGGGACCGGACATTTGCAGAGAGGAAACGGGGTACGGGAGATCGGGGCGGTATTCTTGCGATTGATGCCGGGACCGAGTGTGGTGTGGCTGAGTTTGCGGCTCTGGTTGAAGCAAGACGAGAAAGGGAAAGCAGGGAAAGGTAGAGATAGGTACTAGGCAAGGCAGATAGGTACTTACACCCGACGGAAAGTCGACATGGTTGTGGCTGGCTGACTTGTGTGAAAGATGCGTTGATCTGATGTTTCTGTGAATCCAAGCAGGTCGGTTTAAGCCACTCGGGAGCCCACATGCAGAGTTGTGGTGGTGGCCGCGGGATGCGGGATACGGCAAAGGGCAGATGCGAGTGTGGCAGAGTTTACGTTGCGAGAAAAAACAGAGCCTCAACGAGCCGCGGAACGACGTTGAGACTGGAAGAGCGCTGTTTGTGGCGGGGCAAGTTGGCTCTAGCTTCTTTTGTGGCCGTCATTTACATGCGAGAAGAACCAATGCGAGCCCAGGTTTCCCGTTTTTTGCAACACTGACACAGACGTCTACGGATAGTTGCGACGAAAGGGAAAAGCGGGAAGAAGGGCAAAGAGGTAAACGAAAAACTTGGCAGTGCTGGTAACTCTGTTCGAGTTCAGAACATGGCGTTTCTGTGGCGGTGGGCTTGTGATGGGTTTGCGATGGAGTGAACTAGGTAGTAAAAGCGAAGTATGAAGTCGGCGTTCGTCAGCCACATGCGTGGAAACGGAGTCTCTCGGATTCGTGAATTGCGAGACTCCGACGTCCAGTGTGGGTGATGGGGTGCGTTCTCCCGGTCGTTTGCTGCAATTCTCGGAGGTATTCGAGTATGTACTATCCTAGTAAGAATCGTGGAGATGTGGACGTGAGACTGCACAGACGTTGGATCCTTCTTTCTGTACTGCGCAGACTGTGGAATCCAAGATGCGGAATCAGATGTCGTCCCCCACCTTTTCTTTTCAGCGTTAGTCTCTCCACCTCAGCCCAGCTAGAGGATGCTGAGGTTATTCCCGTTGTGATGTCAGGTAAGACTGTTCTACTCAATGGGTTCTTCAACAGTTCCCTGCCCTAGGTATTTAACGAGGAAGAATACAAGGGAGGGACGGGAGAAACGGAATCTGGCAAACAATGTTTTGCTGTGGCTGACAGATAGAGACAGACGGATAGAGATGACGACCTGGAGTGAGTGCGTCGTGTCTGTCTGGTGCACACACACACAGAGTTGACGCGGGTAAGGCCAAGCGCGAGCGCGGGCCGAGTTAAGGGGGGCGGGTGACGCAAGTGCGTGGAGCCCCCGCGGCCATCGATGCGCTTTGAACACCTGCGGATACTTCGTACACTGACTGACTGCTCTTAGGTGTCGTGCAAAATACTGCTGTTGCTGGCAGCTGCTTCTTTTTCCCATTTTGGGAGGGGTGGCACTGGGGAGGAGCAGCACCAGCAACCAACATGGTCCAGGTCTGGTCCCCTTCTTTCTTCGTCTCCCCCCCGTCCCCGTTTACACGTACCTTGCTTCGGGTTCACCGACCAGATCATCCACCTTTAGCTCTGCTGCGTAGCCTCTGGGCTCTCTTCCCTTTCCCTTCTTCTTCCTAGCTCCATTGCTTCAATTGGTCACTTGATCCTTTAATGCCTCTTTCTTCAGGGTTGCCAGCTCGTGAATTAAACTACCAGACTACTGCCATAGCTCGACAACGGCCGGCAATTGGCATCCGAGATCCAATACACACTACTTTACTCTCCGTACCTACACTACTGCATACTCCTCCATAGAGACCCTTTTCCTCTTCCTCCTCATCATACAAAAAGTCGTGGGGTGTGCTCTAGGTTTTCCCAAACGACCCCGTCTTCAATAGAAACACCTTGTTCTCGCTTCTTCCATCCATCAATTACATTCCTCCTCATCATCCCCCCCTTGTCCATCTCTGTGGATATCCTTCTTCTTGTTAACTCACCGACAAGTCGGTTGTTTCCACCCCAGATTCCCCTGACCCCCATTCTGAACTTACCTCACCTCACCTCGCTTTACCTCGCCTTACACAAGCTTGGCAAACATAAACACACTTCAACTCATACCTCCGTCCCCTACACATACATACCTTACGCGCGACCGCGTACAAAAGACACATCCCACATGCTCATCCTCCAAGACGTAGCCATGGACATCCGCACCATCGACAAGGAAGAAAACAGGAGGCGCATGAGAAACGGCGAGCTCTACTGGGCCTTTACCCCGGATCTCATCGCCGACAGGAAACGCTGCAAAGCCGCCTGCGACAAGCTAAACAACGCTGGTGATGTCAGCCGCCGTACCCTCGTTGGCATGTGGAAAGAGTGAGTCCCTTCTCTCTTTTCTCTATTTATCTGTTTCACTATCTCCACCCCCCGGTTCTATTTGCGCGTGTCGCCGTGTCCCCGCATCATTTGGGTATCGGCAACTTTCCAGACCTTTTGAGAGCTTCCCTTGTCCCCCGCAACTTTGCATTACCTCATGTGTACTCCGTACCTAGCATAACGAGTGAACGGATCTGACTTGAGAACCCACCCAGCATCAACCGGGACACGATCCCTCTCCCTCCGCCACGTCTCCGCCATCATGAGGACGATGCCCTGCTTGAAGACTACCCGTGGATCGATACCCCGATAAAGATGGACTACGGCTACAATGTCAAGTATGTGACACCCACCCCCGGATCTCCACAGCCAAGTGAAGCGTGCCTCGTACTCACCGCCTAATAGGCTCGGTGAGAATGTCTACGTCAACTCCAACAGCACATGGATAGACACCTGTCTCATAACCGTGGGCGACCGCACCCTCATCGGTCCAAACTGCTCGTGTAAGTCCCCCTCCTCTCTCCTCTCTTCTACTATATCCCATCAGGCGCAACCCGCGACCCGCGAATTACCTAAGCTAACCTCTCAAAAAGTCTACAGCGGCACACATCCGCTGGAACCCCGTCTCCGCAACGGCACCCGCGGGCCAGAGTCGGGTAAGCCAATCACCATCGGTGAGGACTGCTGGCTCGGCGGCAACGTCATCGTACTGCCCGGAATCACCATCGGCAAGGGCGTGACCGTCGGCGCCGGGAGCGTCGTGACCAAGGACGTGCCGGATTTCGTATGCGTGGCGGGCAACCCGGCGCGGGTAATCAAGACTGTCGAGCAGTCGCAGCCGACGACAACAAAGCCGTCGGACGAAGTGTCAAACAGGATCGTTCCTAGCTCTACTATGTAGTAATGCAGTTTTCGCGTGCCTGACTTTTCATCGTGCGTGTAGTATGTATAGATGTTTGTGTGTGTTCATGTCGTATTCGTGTTCATAGACCACCTTGAATGGTGAAGGACGCGATAATGAGGACGAGAACGTTGATGACGCCCCATAGTAACGGGATCCAAGTTGACATGGAGAAGAAACCGGCACGGTAAACCGCAGCTAGGCTGTGACGCAGTATCCCATGTTAGCCTCTCTCTTTATCTGCCTCTCTATGTTTATCTTCTGCACTCCTATCTTTGACCCGAGTGCCAAATACGAGAAAGAGAACTCACATCAACCCAACAACACTACCCGCAACCAGCGCCTGCACGCCCGACACGATGAGGTACAGCAGCGGCACGGCCCAGATATACGTCAGCGACCCGCGCTTGTTGGTGTGCATGGCGATGGTGATGGCCGCCGCGCCGAGGTGCACGACGCTGTAGATTATCGTCGTCCATAGCACGGTGAAGCGCCAGATGTCGTTGATGTAGAAGAGGCTCCAGCGGTGGTCGTCCGTCAGGTCGCGGAGCTGCCAGTTGATGCTAGGGAACGAGGGGGTCTTGTAGTTTGTCGGCGGGTAGTCGCGCGCCGTTTGCGACATTGTTCGGGGTGTCGGGTGTTCTTTTTCGGTTCCGGTTCGATTCGACGTTGGAAGAAGGAGCGGATTTAGACGGTGAGAGTTGTAGGTAGTACGAGGTCGTTGACCTTTTTGTTCGAGGTTTTCGGAGGTTGTTGGTGTACCTAGTATAGGTAGGTAGTTGCATTTCCTGCGCGCGGTGACGATGTTGCTGGGGTTGAGTGGACGATCTTCGGGTGCCAATTGGGGTGGGCGGGAGGTGTTGCAGGGATGGCGCAGCTTAAGGTAAGCTCGAGGTGTGGCTTTAGGGGCGTGTCCCGTCGGTCTCCAGGTGCCTCGGCAAATGCGCCCGCCCGCCGAACGTCCTGCTATCGGCACCGGCTTCGATATCGCAATCCACCGGCAACATCACCAGCCGCACCTTCCTTTCACCACCGTCTCTTCCGTTGTGAAACTTCTTTTATTCCCCGTCTATGGTTAATTCCCTCTCAGAATAGCCGTCGAATGATCCACCAGTCTCGCGAAACGATACGACACGACCCGACCCGACACGATGCCGGCCGACAGACTCCTCAACACGGTTCTGCAGCTGTACCAAAACGTCCATGACGACCGTAAGACGGACCAGATCGTCGGCTCGACCGTGAACCTCCTCACCTCCCTCTCGAATCCGCTGAACCTCGGCGTCCTCACCTCCCAGCTCCTCATCGCCCCCGCCATCTGGCACCGCCGCGACGGCCTGCGCACGAGTCTGCGCATCATTTCAATCTACAACAGCGCCGCGATACGGGTGCGGCAGAACGAGCTCGACGACGCAAAGGCTTCCTCGGTCGCCAACAATGATTCCCGCACGATTCATACACCGACACCGACGAGGCAGGGTGGCGGTCTCAGCAGCGAGACGTGGGTACGGGCTGTGGTCAAGGGCGCCGATGACCGCTCCAACAGGTGGCAGCATCTGCTGGTCCTGACGGGTATCCTGATGGGCATGGAGGGCAACGATAAGCGTTCGTTGTCGCGGGGTCTGCGCAATACCCTGGAAGAGGCCGTCGTCACGGCCGCGAACCTCGCGCTGGAGCGCCAGGACGGGTCCTTCGCCTCGGCGTCCATCGTACTGGCGCTCAACTACGTCTTTCCGTTCCTCTCAGAGTTCCACCAGTCCGCCATCAACTACAACGCACTGCTGCCCATCACCGTGCTAGCCATCACGGGAGAGGACGGGTTCCAGGACGGCGGGTTCTTGGAGGACGTTCGGAGGGACGTCAAGCAGAACGGTCCGTTCGTGGAGTGGTCTCCCGCGTCGCCGTCGTTCAGGCTGCAGCAGGCGTTGGAGAGCAAGCCGCTGATGGGCGGCATGGGACCGCTGTCCCGGCTGGCGGCCTTTGCCGTCACGAACGCGACGGACTCGTCGGCCGTACTCGACGCGCAGGACTCGCTGCTCGAGTTTGCGCAAAAGCTATTTCAGCAGTGGCAGCGCAACCCGTTGTCGACGGTCGACGCCGCGGACGAGACGGCGCGGCTGGAGCACAACACGCTCGAGGGGACCTGGCCGGTCCTCTGGGGCACGCTGAAGAAGACAATGTACGCCACGGTCGCTGTCCTGCAGTCCATTGTTGGGCGCAGTCTTCTCGATCCGCGCATGAGGAACGATGTCATGGGTCCTCAGGTCGCGACCAAGACACTGCTCACTCTGCGGTTTCTGTTCTTCATCTCGTCGAGACACGGAGCCAGCTCGTTCCAGGCGTACACTTTTACCTACCTCACATCCCTCGACATCCTCGCACGGTTCGGAGATGCTTGCGTCTCTTTCCTCACGGAGACGAAGCCCCCTCACGCAGGAGTGGTGCCCCCCGGCCCCCTCGACAGAACACTAGACCTGTTCTACCTCAACGTCGCCGAGCACCTGCCCCTCAACATGCCCACAGAAGCCTGCGACGCGCTGATCGTCCGGCCGGCGACAGCTTACCTCACCCACACGGGTGCTCTCACATCGACGACGGTTGAGCTCTTTGAAGCAGCCCACAGCGCCGTCCTCTCGGTGCTCTCGTGCCCGCACAATAGCGCCCTGACCGTCACCCTCGTTACCTTTTACATCGACGCCCTATTCGCCTCGTTCCCGGCGCAGATCTCGACGCGGCAGTTCCGCGTGGCCTTCAAGACGGTCATGCAGATCGTCTCGCCACCCTTCCCCATCTCCCTCGCCGAGCCGCAGCTCTCCGAAACGCTCCTCGAAATGGTGCGCTTCAAGGCGCTGGGCGCGGGCACGGCACCGCTGCCCGCCACGCACGACGCGCTCGCGCAGGCTGAGAAGGGCCTCGAGGCGACCGCCGAGCAAACAGAGGTCCTCTCGGAGCAGAGCTCGCTCGTGCTGACGCTGGTGGATTCGCTTCCGTTCCTGCCGCTGCCGTTGGTAGAGGAGTGGTTGACGCTGACGGCGCAGGCGATGAACGAGATTGCGGACCCGGCTGTGCGGCGGCCTGTGAGGGATCGGTTCTGGGAGGTGCTGGTGAGTGGCGAGATGGATGTCGAGAGGGCTACGATTGGGGTTGCGTGGTGGACTACCAAGGGCGGGCGGGAGCTTGTTGTCGGGAGGGATCAGGTTCTGCTACAGCAGCAAGAGCAGCAGATGCCGTTGATGAGTGGTGCGATTATGGATGAGAGTAAGTCGAGTAGGCTGTAAGACTGTGGTCAGAGAGAAGCGTGTGATTTATTTTGTGTATCTGAGCGGCAATGAGATGATATATCATGTAGAATGAAAAATTAATATGAGCAGGAGGAATTCAAGGCCAAGACCGTCGAATCTAGATTCTACCATCATCGCATCCGTGACGTGTCAAGTGACTGCTCTTTCTGATATGAGGACTCGATGTACAGACACGTGTAGCAAGTCTCACGCAACAGGGAAGGAGGTCAGAATCCAAATTTGCCTGTGAGCGTCACGTAATGAGCTCTACGAGATGGACATGTATCACGGGACAGGGTGACCACTGTCACTGAACTGATGTTCCGTATTTGTATCTCGCTAGTCGTATGTAGTGGTGATGCACCGCCCTGCTTCTGCTTCTGTAGTCCTCCCGACAGTCGTGGTTCTGCAACGTTGTTTTCCCACTTCCCCTGGCTGGTGCCCGGCGTGCTCTCCACCCGATGCCCACTGTACTCGCGAGGCTCCCTTAGTGTCTGTAATTTGTTCCAATACGAGTAGAATGCCTGCTAGCCAATAGTTAGAAAGCTTGATGCTGTAGGAAATATCACCTATGTTCTTGCCTTACACATTCAGAAGAGAAATCCACAGATGCTACGGGTAGTAGCCAAAGCAAGCAAGCAAGCTATCCAGCCCTCTTCCTCTGTGCAAGAAAGGAGCCCACATCCAAAGCAGGCCGACCATCATCAAATCAACATCAATGAGACACCACAGGTCCGTACCACTTCTTCAACTGCATGACGACCCGGAGCGCGTCGTCAAAGATGAAGAGGTACGTCTCAAAGTTGCGGTCAAAGAAGCTGTCGGCGTCCGGCATGCGCGGGTCCTTTGACGCCTTGATGAGGCGCGGGACGACTCTCTTCAGGACGGCCATCTCCTTGTCCGTGAGCGGGTTGACGTGGAAGGACTGGCGGCCGCCGAGGAGGCGGGTGATGACGATGCGTTCCTGGCGGGTGATTTCTGGTGCGTCGGAGAGGATTTCCGAGGGGCCTCTGGCCGCGTTGGCTCGTTTGGTCTTCATTTTTGAGGGGATGGGTGTGCTTGAGGTGTATGGATAGAAGTGACGGTTTCCTTGCTTGTGAAGAGGGATGGGTGATGATGTTGGTGAGGATAAGGTGAGTTGTCGTAGGTCAGTGATGTGGAGGACAAGGAGATGTTGTAGGGCTGTACGATCTCTTGTTGTTGCTTGGGGGACAGATGTCTCTTTGATGAGGCAGAGAAGAAAAAGAGAAGGTTTTGTTTTGTGGATTGCGAGAAGGAAGGAGCGATCAAGACATCATGGTCTAGAGGAAGGACCGGCCTCGGGCTACGAGCAAGCTTCATACCCGCCCCCCTTCTCATCCGAATAATCATCGGTGTGAGTATATTCCTTTCAAGATGTGATGGCTTGTTTCCCTATTCTCGTGATCCGTCTTGCATTTGTCCAGTGGCTATTGATGCTGCATTGTAGTGATTCTACAGAACCAAGGAAACCGAGAGATGGCACGTAGCCGAGAAGTTTGCTTTGATATACTCAAGGTACGAGCAAGTAGATTTTCTCTTCGCATTAAACCCAGTTCTCACTTGATTTCTATAGGGGTGATAACGCGGCGTAACACAGGAACAGAGTGAGACGACAGCCGATGAAAAAGCTCGACAACCATGATTTCCTGCGCGTAAGCGAATCAAATCTACAAGGTTCCATGGGGCAGATGACTGGTG